TTGTTGTTTTTTAAGTAATGGGGGAAGGGAGGGGTGCTTACTTTTGGCGGGCGGCCGAGAAAAGACGTTTCGATTTTCACGGCTTCATTGATGCTCGATAAGGCGGGAAAACGCCGAAGCTAGATAGTTACAGCAGTGATCTGATAGAGGCGCCCACCAGCCGCCCTCCAGACACGGAGGTTATCTGAAGCACGGGGTGAAAGGTGGGAACTGCAAGACGCCAGCGCGTGTTGGGCCTGATAAATCCCGACGTCAGGCCCTATCAGCCAATTAGAGGCGATAAGACGCGACCCGCACGTCAACCTGTCAAACGTTCTCGGAGGAAAACAAACCAACAAAACAAAAACAAAAACAAACAAAAAAACCACACCCAAGAACCCTCTCACTCCCCCAACCAAACTTGCCCCCCCCCTTCCCCCTCATTTATTTTCTTTATGTCGTTCGATTGAAAATTTGTGTTGTCGACTCTCTGATGTGGTGTTATCTCTGAACGTCTGCTCAATGTATTTGTTGGATGTGTATTATTGTGTTCCTGGCGACCTATGGCCGTTGTCACACGCACTGGCGGACTACTGCAATAATATAGTCAAAAGTCAAATGGTTTAGTAAAGCGGCTAAACCTGCCTTCAGTGAAAATACTTGCTCGAAAAGCTGAAGAAAGCGAGCGAAATACCCCCCAAAAAAGAATACAAACAAATAAAATGAAAACCCGAACACAAAAAACAACAGCATAAGACGCAGTAGAAACATTCGCACGTACACAAATGAGTGTATTGATAAAAGCATACTTGTTTACAGTTCATTAACTCAGAAACTATGACGACAATAATAGTTTTACTAACAAACGAAGTTCTGAAAGGCGACACTCTTTATTCCGCCCTGGCTTCGTCAAAAAGTCGAAAAAAAAGAAGATTTGCCTAGAAGTTTTAAGACCCTGCTCATTTTCACCACAGATTATTCCCCCTCCCAGTGCGTGAGAAACTGGGAACCAGAGACGTCGTTTTTAACTACTCAGACCTTTACTTTTTGTTCGCATACCCCCATGTTTATGGTGGTTTG